AGGGGAGTGAAGTGACCGCCATCTTGCAAAGAATCAATTTGTGGGAAGGATCAGATAAGGGCTTAGTAAAGATGTCGGTAACTTTAGATGAAGAAGGAACAAAAGTAAGAGAAATCAAGTCGGAGAGATACTGTTGGCAGACGAAGTGACGATCGAGCTCAACGTGCTTCGTTCGCTCATGGAATACATGATTTCGAGCAATATGCAAAGCCGCCTAACTATCAGAGTGAAGCGGAATCGGAAGAACCGGTGGAGCAGAGAGATCGTGGAGGAGACGATTTAACCAAGTCAACTCAGCAAGGAGTCGTCGCATAGAGCGATACTCTTCTTCAGCAGAAGAAAACGAAATAGAGACCTGCTTTTTGAACTTCTAAGAGATTGGAAAGCCACCAAGGCTAATGAAATAGCCATTAATAGATCGACGAGAATTAATACAGAAGGCCCAGTCAGCGTCACAAAAATTCAGGAGCGAAAATGAAGAATTTGCTGACATTAACAATCCTAGACCCGGATCTGTGCGAAGACAGCAGATCACTCGAAGAGCAACAAAAAAATGGGGTAGACGAGGACTTTACATGAATTGAGATAGCTGTTTTACGGCGAAAGACAAATCCGGCCGAGTATGGGTCAAATAATTAAGCTTTCCAATAAGCCGTCGATAACAAGAAGGATCTGCAAGTAATTCACCAGAATCAAAGGAAAGTTTACAAGAAGGGTCCAGGGGAGAAGATACTGATGTCAAATGAGCACAATTGAACTCAGAGATAAGATCAAGAGTGAACTTTCGTGAGAAACAATGATCCCTTGCGGTTCACGGAGGACTTTCAGGCCGAGAAGTAATGTAAGTCTCCAAGATCCTTAATTTTGAATTCTTCATGAAAAAATTCTTTTAATTGGGAAAGTTCTGTAGGATTGTTTCCCGTAACTAGAATATCATCGGCATAAACTGCTACAATAGAGATAGAACCCTCTGATCTTTTATAAAAAAAAGTGAATAAATCATTCAAAGATAAAGAAAACCCCTTGAAATTTAAGGTTGTTGTAAGTCGTGCATACCATTGCCTCGAAGCTTGGTGTAACCCATACAAAGATTTCTGTAGACGACAAACATGAGCAGGATTGGGAGAAGGCATACCAGTAGGAAACTTTATGTAAACCTCTTCATCTAAATTGCCATGTAAGAAAGCATTGTCCACATCTAGTCGTGAAATAGGCCAACCTTTCTTGACAGCCACAACAAGAATACACCTGATGCTGGTCATTTTGGCCATTGGAGAATAGGTTTAATTGAAATCAATACCCTCTCTCTGTGTATCACCCCGTATGGCCAATCTAGCTTTTAGCCTTTCAATAGTACCATCAGACTTGTGCTTGACCTTGTATACCCACTTGCAAGGTAAAGCTTTGTGACCAACCGGTAGTTCAACTACATCCCATGTATGGTTAGCCTCTAGGGCTGCAAACTCAAATGCCATAGCTTGTTGTCATCCAGGATGCATGATAGCTTGTGAAAAGATAGTAGGTTCAGTAAAATTAGAAATAGATTGGAGAACCTGCTGGTTAGATATTGAAAGAGCAGCAAAAGGAAAAATGGGGGTGTTAAGAGGGTGAGAAAAACAAGAGTCAGTGAGATTAGTCAAGAAAACTGAACTACAAATATAATCTTTTAAGTAAGTAGGCTCTTTGTGTTCCCTCTCTGATCTTCTAAGCATTGGAATAAGGGATGGGGAGGTAGTAGAGGGAGAAGAAATAGGGGTATCTGAACTACTGAGGTTGGGAACAGGGGAAAGAGCAGGGGAATGAGAGGTTGAAGGAGGAGGAGGAGGAGGAGGAGGAGGAGTGTGAACTCTGGGTGTGTTTGGGAAATCTGGACAATTAGAATGAACAGGGGATGAGGGAATGATTGTAGGGAGAGGAGAATCATAGACAGTGAATTGAGAATGAGAAGCAGTAAAGATGGGAGGGGAAATAGTGATGAAAGAGAAAGGAAATACAGATTTAAAAAACTGAACATCTCTGGAGATAATATTCTTTTGGAGGCTAACTCTAACAGTTTGTAGTCTTTCTTTCTAGGGGATAGCCTAAGAAAACACAGGAAATGACTCGAGGGGCAAGGTTAGGTCTGTTATGAGACAAAGGAGAGGCATAGAATAAACAACCAAAACATCTCAAAAAATCACAGGGAGGGACTTTGCCAAAACTGACTTCATAAGGTGTCTTACCCTTTAGAACAAAAGAGGGAAATCTATTAATTAAAAAGGTAGCAGTGAGCAAACACTGCCCTAGTAGGAAATACGCAATTTAGGCTGATGTAACAATGCTCTTGAAGTCTCCAAAAGGTGTCTATATTTTCTTTTAACAATGCCATTTTGTTGAAGGGTGGCAGTGCAAGAGATCTGATGAATAATCCAAGTAGAGGTGAAGAAATCAGAAATAATAATGCCCCATCCCAGTTCTAAAGCATTATCTGATCTAACCATCTTAACATTGGTATTGAATTGTCGTTCAGTCATAGCTAAGAAGGATTTTCAACATGAAGAAAGCATTGCTCTTAGCACTTAACAAGTAGGTCCGGGTGCCTCTACTAAAGTCATCAACGATAGTAAGAAAATATTTGTAACCATTGTGTATTGGAGACCTATAAGGTCCCCAAGTGTCAACATTTATTAAATCAAAAATACCAAAAGATTTGATAGAACTCAAAGGAAAAAGTAACCTTGATTGTCTAGCTAAAGGGCAAGCATCACATGAACAATTAAAATTAGAAGAAGAAGAGATAAAACTGATATTTTTCATTGCAGAAAATGGTAAATGGCCCAGTCTAATATATCAGAGTCGTACATCTGAATCCCTAGAAACAGGAATAGAAAAAGAATCTGAAACAACCGTACAAGAAAATACAAGAAAAAGAGAAAACAATAGGCCTAGAAACTAAAAGAAGTCATTGAAAAATTGAAGGGAAGACTATAGGAGAAAGATCCCATCCCTAGCTTTACCAAAAACTAGAGGGGTCTTCACTAAAGGGCATGCAAAATACAAATGATAGAAGAGAAAATAAGGAGGCAGCTCAATTGTTTGCAAAATTTCTCTACAAAAATAAGATGGTTCCTAAAACATGGGACATATAAAGCATTATGAAGAACAAGATTGGGAAATAAAGAAACAGTCCCTCCATGAGTGACTTTGACCTTGAAAGAATTAAGCAAGTTGATAAACAGATGAGTAGGTAAAGGTGATATACTGGTAAAAAACTTAGTATCAAAGGATATATGTTCAGAAGCTCCGGAATCAATGATTAAAGAGCTTGTATTAACACATGTAAGATATGCAAGGGGATTCTTGAAAATGGTACCAACACACTGAACAACATTAGCATTGACATCTGATAGAGCAGAATCTGAGTTCCCAATCTGAGCATTTTGGAGCAACTGAACCAACTGAGTTAATTGAGGCTGAGTTATAGAATTGGAACCCCAGCTATAGGATGCTCATTAGGAGAAATATAGGGAGCTACTTGTGCAGGAGTTGTCAAAACAACATTAGTCTTGATCCCCCCTTGAAACTTTGTGGTTCTAGTAAACTTAAAATCATGAGGAAAAACAATGATCCAGCAACATTTTCAACAGAGTGTAGGGCTGCGCATGGATCGGATCGAATTTAGCACATTTCGGATTGAATTTCGGATTTGGGATTCTAGAAAATGCAATCCGAATTAATATCAGATCGTATTTTAAAGTTTGGATCAGATCAGATTTTCGGATTTCAGATCGGATTATTATGCCTCAAAGTTGCAAACTCATATGTATATTTTCTTTGTAAAAGAGGCAATACAGTAAGAAAAATTCATGTTTTTGCAATTATGAGAGTACTATGGTGCCAATATAGCTAATCCATCAATTGTAAAGGCAATAACTTGGAGAAAAATATAAAAGAAGTACTAACTATCCGAAATTAAAATTCAGTATTTATACATGCCCTAATAATTTCGAATTTCGGATCGGATTAAAATTATACCAATCCGAATCCGTTCCGAAATCTGAAATTTTAATAAACACAAATCGAAATCCAATCCAATCCGAAATTCGAAATTCAAAATTGAACGGATCGATTCGGATTTTAGATATCCGATCCAAATGAACAACCCTAACATAGTGACCTGGTTTCTTGCAGCGAGAACAAGAAGTTATTTTTCTTTCCCTTAAAATCATAGTGCTGAAGTTTCTGACTTGCAATGTTCTGTTGTGTAACCAGGAAAGAAGAAGAATCACCATGGAACTGTGGACTGACATAAATCTCGTGCTGCTTCTCATCGAGTAGGCATGATTGAGATTGGGTAAAGGGGACATCATCAGGATGTTGCTTCGAACAACGGCATAAGAATCATTCAAGCCCATGAGAAATTGATGGGCCTCTCATCTTGAAGAGATTTCACAAGTTTAACCCTCCCACAGATGCAATTGTAAGAACAAGTAACAGAAGAATAAAGAGAATCAAGCTCATCCCATAGCAACTTCAGCTTAGTGAAATATCGAGCAACATCACTAGAGCCCTGAGTTAAGTCACTGATATCTTTTTGCAGGTGATAGAGTTTGGCACTATTGGTTTGGCCAAACCTATCTTCAAGTTCAGTCCAAAGATCCTGGGCAGATTTAGAGTAAATAACACTGGAAGCAATTTCCTTAGAGAGGGAATTCAGAAGCCAGGAGGTAACCATATCATTAGATCTAGCCCATAGGTTGAAGGAAGGAGAATCAGGAGGAGAAGACTTGTAACTGCCATCAATGAAGCCCAACTTATTTTAAGCTTAGAGTGAAATGAGAAGATACCTCCTCCAACCACCATAACCACGGCCATCAAAGATGGAGGTGACAAGAGTCATACCAAGAGAGTCAGAAGGGTGGAGAAAGTAAGGATGACTAGTATCCAAAGAGACTGAACCGCCACGGCCAGAAGAAGCATCACTGGTAGTAATAGAGAGAGTAGAAGAGTCTCTAGTAGTAACCATTTGGAATGATCGGAGAAAGAAAACAAAATAAAGAGAAAAGATAACTGAAAAAATAGGATCTAGACGGCGACTGATACCATGTAGAAAATAAAAACTAGAGATTGAATTTGAGAGAATTTTTCTGATGATCTTCTCATTGAGTGTATGTATTTATACATGCATCTGACTTAAAAATAAATAAATAGCTATACACTTGTCTATTTTCTATTGGACCTAAAATAACAGAAAAGAATCTTCTATACACTACTAAATACATTGTTGTGTAACAAATTTCTGTCACGTGTCCAGAGAATCTAATTTCTCATCTCTATCTTTCTTATTAAATGAACCGCCATGACGAAATTTTATATAATATGATCCAACGCTCCTAAGTTTCCCACTTGTTTCATTCAAGACCTGAGAAAGGGAAGGTATACAATTTCCTGTCTTTGACACAAAACACAGGTTGGAAAATATCGCCTCTTTCCCATTCTACTCTATACAATCAGCATCACAATTAGAGCATAAATTATCACTATTTCCAATACTTATAGTTTTCATACCCCATGAAACGAAAAGGATAATATTATTACCAACCGCAATAGAATAAAAGAACAGGACTTGAAAAAAAATAACATTGAAACTATATTATGAAGACTTTGCAAAGTTTAGCGATAACTATTTTTTTCTGATTGAAAGGTTCCATCAAAATTCACCCTTATGGTGTTCTTAGCGCAAATCATTCGATATTAGGACACATTTTTTAGTTGCACTGTAATCAACGTCTAATTTATGATCGAATGATGGCTCTTAAAGAGTTCTGATTTAGTAAAGAAACTTTTGGATTTACAAGGCTAACTATACTTGATTAAACTAAAGTAATGGGATGAGCGTCGTGCGTTGGGCGTATATTTTACAAGACAAGAGCCCCACGCCAGTCTTAGACCGTCTTACGGGTGCCTCGTCGTAGGTGAGCTCCTGAAGAGTCTTAATTCTGCCTCTGTACGCAGTTTTGTACTACCTATATATTTAAAATATATACAACTGATATGCGTATAAACTATTTTTGCCCGAATAGCACCCTTTGTTGCTCAAATCTTGCAGTTAAGAATTTTTTCTAAGGTATAAATTGGGAAAAATAAATAAAAAGTATCTTTTTTCGACTATGAATGTTTTTTCTTCCCAGTTTAAACGGTTCAGATGCTATTCACATGCTACTTCTGTCAAAGATGTCATGTATAAATATATGAAAGATTTGATAAACATAAGGACTACAACTGCTAAAGTATACTACTATATAAGACTATTTTACACCAACCGAAAACATAAGGGACCAGTTTTGTCATTTTCTCCTAATATGGCATTTAGGATTTGTAACTTCGAGAGGAAAATAGAAAAAAGAAAAGCTTCGACCTTCTCTTTTCTCTCGACATTCACCGCCGCTGCTCCGCCAGTCCAGCCTCCGATATCGACTGCTCAGCTACTCCGCCACTCCGCCAGCCGTCCACCAATCGCCGGAGCAGGTATACCTGGATTTACACCTCTCCAGCATTTCCTAAAAAGAACATTCCTTTTTTTAAAGATAAGTTGGTTGAGAACATTCCTTCAAATTTTTAACATTCACATATTGTAGTAATTAGTATCTGTGCAAGCAGCAGACATTTGGTTTGGAGATGCCCAAATTTGAAAAGGCTCAACTAAATCCCAATCCCTACATAGCTAAGTTACCAATTCGCACAAATCCAAACCGAAAGAAAAAAACTTGATTGTACCGAATTTAATTTGGTTTGGTTTCAGTTTAGAGTTTTGTAGAAACCGAAAATACCGAATCAAATTTTCCAAAACCTAACCGAGCTGACTGATAGGTGCTCAGACGAAATTCAGTTGTACGTTTAGCCCTCTTTTTTCCTCCTTCCCTCAGATTCTTTTTTATCTGTAGTTTGTAAAAAAAGTCATTATCTGCTTTTTGTGGTTTGTTTGTGGGGTTTAGTTTGGTTTTTTGTCTGGAATCTGGATATAAAATAACTACAGAAAAAATCTTGAAATGTTTTATTGAGTTAGTTATTTTGGAGGATTTTTCCTAATCAAAACATTTGCACTCGATAAACCCTTGAAAAATGTCGCATTGATAAATGGGTATGGCGAATCTTGATTGTATATGATGTATGCTTTATGCACCATAAAATACGAAGCATTCAATATTCTATATTTCGTATGATTCTTTGGTGTCATTTATCTTCCAGATTTTTGGGCTTTCAAATAGTTTTGCTTGGATAGAGAATAATTTTTCTTGCCAGTTTTGAAATGGTTTCGTCTGGATAGAAAATTGCTTTTGAAATTTTAGAAGTTGGATTTTGATTTTGATGTTATGGAGGTTGTTAACTAAGCTGCTGAATGAGCTGATTTAACCTTTTGCAAACCTCAAGTTGGCTGACACTATTGTAATTATATGTAAATTAGGGTACCACTTTACCTGGCTGTCAATGATGAAGAGGGTATGGAGAATCTCGGATGCTTCCCAGACGGAAGCAATTCTCCAAAGATTTTCTGAAAATTATAGAAAACATTCATGGTGTTACACAATTGCACGAGCTTCAGCCAATACGTTGTGGGTTCGAGGACTAGCGGGCGGAGCAGCTTCTTCCCAACCTGCCTGGTCACAGGTATTTGCTTTGTTCGCAGACAGGTGGAGTCACGCTGATTCATTGGTCAAACAGGATCTAAGAGAAAGGGTTTCACATTTAAGGGATGAGTTGCTAGCTTGCAATGGTGATGCTGAAAAAATTGAGAGAATATTAGCGGATAGAGGGGTTTTGTTGTTTAGGAGGTATGCAGATGGTTCTGCAGTTGTTGAGCTCTTAAAACAACTAAAATCTTCGCCCCAATTAGCGCTCCAGGTGATTTTATTTCTGTACGTAATATACTTATTATCTGTACTTAGCAACATACCATATCCTCATTGTAACTGAACCGATTTTGTTTTGCGATGGTTGACTTATTTTTTGTCTGACAGATTCATTATTGCCCGTTATAAACTACATTAAAATTCTGCTAACCACCAATCTTTGAAATAAAAAAGGATAAAACAAATATAAATATGGAATCTTGGTCAAAGAGGACTTGTTGACACTCCAAAGGTCAATCGAGTAGACTGCTTGTGTGAATTTAACTTATATGATTACATTATGTAAACTAGGCTCACTTGTGGGATTTTACTGGGTTGTTGTTGTTGTTGTTGTTGTTTTGTAAACTTGGCGTGGAAAATAATAATGGAGTTGAGTTTGTGGGTGAGACAAAAATGAGGCGTTTCTCTTCTTTTGGCAATATTAGACGATTTTCTTCTCGGTTAATCAATAGTAATTTCGTGTCATTCTAGTAGTCACAGTTTAAGAAATTATCTTCTCAATGTTTTCTACCTAAGTCCAGATGTTAAGTCTATGATCACTGCAATTTTTTTTTTGGGTTGAGGAAGTAACGTACTTTGTCTGTTTTCTCAGGCTTTTGACTGGAGGAGAAGACAATTGGATTACTGGACTCCCATGACAGCTGAGGAGTATTCCAAGGCTATTGTTGTGGCTGGAAGGTTAAAGAATGTTGATCTTGCAGCTGAACTATTCAAAGAGGCTTCCAACAAGCAACTCAAGTCCACCTCTTTATATAACGCCCTTATGACTGCTTATATGTTCAATGGTTTGGCTGTAAAGTGTCAATCAGTTTTTCGGGACTTGAAGAGGGAAGCAACATGTACTCCAACTATTGTAACATACAACATACTTATCTCGGTGTTTGGTAGATTAATGCTGATAGATCACATGGAGGCAACCCTACGGGAAATAAATGATTTGAATATCTGCCCAAATGTTAGTACATACAACAATTTAATTGCTGGGTATATCACAGCATGGATGTGGGATGATGTGGAGAAGACATATAGAATCATGAAGGCAGGAGGTGTCATACCTGATCTTGCTACCCATTTATTGATGCTTCGAGGATATGCACATTCTGGTAAGTTGGATAAGATGGAAGAGATCTATGAGCTTGTCAAAGGTCATGTTCATCAGTACGGGATCCCATTAATTCGATCTATGATATGTGCTTACAGTAAAAGTTCTGACGTAAATAAAGTTCAAAAGATTGAAGAGTTGATGAGGTTGATTCCTAAAGATGATTATAGGCCTTGGTTGAATGTCATATTAATCTGTCTGTATGCAAAGGAGGATTTATTAGACGAGATGGAACATTCAATAAATGAGGCATTTAAACGTAACACGTCTGTCACAACAGTTGGTGTCATGCGTTGCATCATTTCAAGTTATTTCCGAAACAATGCAGTAGACGAACTTGCTAATTTTGTTAGCCGTGCAGAATGTGCTGGTTGGAAAATATGTAGGTCCCTTTACCACTGCAAGATGGTTTTGTATGCTTCACAAAGGCGACTCATTGAAATGGAGCAAGTTCTTGATGAGATGGATAAAGTGAACTTGGTCTGTTCAAAGAAAACGTTTTGGATATTACTTAAAGCCTACACAACGTGGGGGGAAAAGGATAAACTTCATCAGGTCTTGGGTATGATGTGCAAGCATGGATATGGAATTCCTACGAATGGATGAACGTGGTAGTTCATATTTCAATTTCCTCCTGTCATCTTGCTTTGAAGGTCATGGTTAACTGATTGTACTGCTTGCTGGAATTTGGGATTTTGATGAAGCCAGTTGACACTCTTATTTAGTTCTCCCTTTTCTTGTTCCCTCTCATTGCTGATATACAGCAGTTAAAAGCTCAAGCGATGAAAGCATTTCTATTTTACAGAAGAGTTAAGTCAAGCATGTGTGATGAACATGTCTGCTTATTGTCAATAAAATTCTGGGTAATTTAGACATCTCATAGTACTTAGTTATGTAACTTTACGTGTCTTATAATGGGAAACTGCATTGCCATGTACCGCTTCTCTATTTTGCTCTCTGTGGCTCTAAAATCTTCTACAGCCTCTTCGGTTCATCGCCTTCCAGCTTTTCTGGGTTTTAGCATCATCTCTCCGCTACTAACTTTGTATGTTCTTTCTATTCTGCTTTCCTATTTTTTCTTGTATTATTATCTTTTATATATACGCTTCTGACTCTGGCGATATAACTGCTCTCTCTTCTTGGCTGTTCTTGCTAGATTCTTTGTTGCTGCACCCGCTTGGATATTATGTTGTTCCATTGCCTCTGATCGGTGAGTCTCACCGATATTCTATCACTTTTTCTTCTTTCTCCCTGGTTTCTAAATTTAAATCTGGGTTAATGGTTTTAATTCCACGATAGAGCATGTAGTAACATAGATGATGCTACTTTTGGTCTATTTATTTTTAGGGTAATTACAGCCCCAGGGCCTAGCTCAAGTGGCAAAGGGTGGTGGATTTGTGTCTTAGGTCACAGGTTCAAGCCCCCATACCATGCAAAGCAAAGCCTGGTATTTAAGTGGAGAAGGGTAGAGGGGCGGGCCCATCATCCACCGAGTTTTTAAGGCTGCGGTTGGTCCAAAGGATCGGCCCCAGACGGATTTCTCGGTCATCAAAAAAAATTACACTAAGCACTCCTACAATATTGCTCAGTTTTATATACACCGCTTGTATTTCTAAAAGAAACACGCATTCCCCTATATTATGAAAATCCAACTCATTCTTATTTCCTTATATAAAAATTAATACATGGACAAAGTTTCCCTTATCCCGATTTTCATTCAATCCTTCTAGAACAATTTCCATTATCCAACTTTTCCTCACAACTCAATAAGTTTGTGCCTTCTCCTCTATTGCTACTGTATCCCAGCAGCCTTACCAAGTGTGGCCTTATCCTCCAAAGTGTCTTGATTTCTCTTGTAAAGCTTTTATCCAATAAGAGATTCACATTTTAGTTGATTTATATATAACCGCTGTTCGGACTAATGGAGGCACAATTTCGGCAAACACCTTTGGTGAATGGTTCGTGACCAATTCGATCGACGATAATTACATCTATATATTTCTCTTTGAAAATAAACTTTTATTGCAAAGAAGAAAAAGAAGAGACCGGAATACGGAAGTGTTTCAAGTTTAGAGAGTGTCCAACGGAATGGCCAGTAAGGGACAAGTGAGTAAGGATGGGAATAGGGATAAGGGCAGCCTCCATATATTAATTTTTATATGAAGGAAATAAGAAATGTGTAGGATTTTCATAATATAGGGGCATTAAGTGTTTGATGTTTGATTTAGAAATACAGGGGTGTCTCTAAAATTAAGTGATATTATAGGGGTGTTTAGCGTATTTTACCCTTGCTTTTATAGTAAAATAGATAGATGATTCTGTTTAATTAATCAAGTATTTTAAATGGCCTTCATAGTAGTTATTTGATCAGTTATTCATAGGAATCGTGAATATCTGGAAAGCTACACTGCTTGAATGCCCATTCTTCCCTCTTTACTGATGGAAATGCTAAAATTGGTGTTGCCTCTATTCAACTGCTGGTTTACAAATAATTCTCGTTCTTATTCTTTTTTCTAGAATAAACTTTTCTCAAATGACAGTGTTACTTTTCTATCTTGTTTTGAGAATCGAGTATTTTCACAGCCTTTGTCGTGGTTGTTATTCGAAAAGATTTATGCATTTGGCTTCAAAGATCCATTGTGTGTATAGTTAGAAGAATGTTGCTACGGGATCCGAACTTCCTGTTTTCCCATTTATTTTCTGACAAAAATTGCAGAGCCTTGAGATTGATATTTTATCAAGGCAAAGAAAAAACTTTTTTCTGACAGTTCTATTACTTCAGAATGAGTGCTAATATTTGGCCGAAGTGACAAATTACTCATTTAGAATGAACTATCACATGAGATATAAATGAGGTACCATCTGACATATTGTGCATTATTCATTCTCTTCTGTCAGTTTTTAGAGGAGTAATAAGAAGAATTCTATGAACCACACTGGGTAATGCCTTCCCAAATTCATGTGGCATATTGTCATGCTCTTCGCTCCTTTAGCTGATAAGTCTTCTCTTCTTATGTGTGGGGTGTTTCTCCTATCTAAGCTTTAAGTGAGGATTGAGAAAGCTACACATATCTTTGTCAGAAGACTGACATATATTTATGCTTCTAACTGAAATTTGTCACTTACATATATAAGAAGAGAAATTTGCATTGAAAGAGCTTTCATTCTGGAATAAACTATTTGGAAGGTCTGCCATAAGCGCCCAACTAAATTCCATGTTGAAAATTTCTGAGCAGTCGTATGCTTTTCTCTGTCAGGACATCCAATTTGATTGCAGACTTCATTTTTCTTAGTGCATGTGGTCTTATTCATCTAGAGGAACAAGAAAGTAAATTTCAGATAACCATGTATGGGTAAATAAATGTGGTTTCAATTGCCTGAGGAATATGCAGCTGTACTAAGGGCAATTAACACCCCCATTATGCTGGTTGAATCTATGTAAACCATTGTGAGTTTGGATTTTCTGTCTTTTACCTTCCTGTTACTGTGCTAGCATAATGTTCAATTCTTCCATTGGTACTTGTATGAAAAACCTGTGTTTCCTGAGCAGACATGCGCAGAGACAAATGACAAGCATTTCTGTGATTATTTTTGCAAGCACCAGCCAACTCATTGCGGTTTTGTATTTGAACCAAGCCTCCGAATTCCATTATTCTACTATTTCTGCATCCAAGTCAAATTGTTTCTCATCTTCTGTTCAAATTGAAGGATCTCAAAGAAGATATTTTGGGTCTAGTATCTCCAAGCTGAAGAACAGCTGTCACTTGTTAATACTTAGAACTGCAGTGAATCCCAGATATACTTGGAAGCCGTGCCTTGATATTTCTATTCAGTTCCAAAATGTGAATATGAGGCTGTTCTTGCCCAATCAGTCAAAAGTTCCGGGAAAAACTGATGCAGAGTAGGGCATATTTCTGGGCTGTGATGTATATGAGTTTTTTCTTGCCCAATCAGTCAAAAGTTCGGAGAAACTGAAGCAGAGTAGGGCATATTTCTGGGGCGACGTTTTACATCTGCTGGTTTATTTATTGGTTTGTCAGTCTGCTATTTAGCCTCTCAACTAGTGCATACTGAGCTGAAGCATCAGAAGAAAATAGGGGAAATAACTGTGCTTCCTCAACCGCTGGCTATTCACATGGAAAGGTCTATATTGACTATGTAATTGGAGTGGTGCATTCTGGACTTTTATGTTCTGTTTCTTTCCACTTTCCAGGTTTGGTTGATATGATAAACTACTCTTCCACCTACTGATTATGTGAAAGCATATTACAGTAACTTTAAGGCCCTTCCTTAGAAATACAAACTTAATGATAGATGTGGATCCATCCGTATTAAAAAAAAAGTTAGATGTGGACCCAAGATTTAGAGTCATTGAGGTCGGAGGTGGTGCAGTGTATGTACTTTCTAATTTTTTTTTTTACATTTGTATGCATGGTTCGAGTTAAGAAAATTGTGTCTGGTTGAACTCCCTACAAAGGGCTAGATCTGCCTCTACTAACTAGTACTAATAGTTACTATCGAAGTTATTTTAATTGAAAAGACTGCTTCATTTCATGCAGGTATATCTGGAGATGGAAGATGTTTATTTCATTCTGTTGCTCATGGTGCTTGTTTAAGGTCGGGGGAAGCCCCTGAGAACCTACAGAGGCAATTAGCAGATGAATTGTGTGGGAGCACAATGGAGCATGTACAACAGTGGCCAAAACCATGCCAAGATCACTTGAGGCACTATGGGCTTACCAGAAGGTTCTGGAATGTGCGGAAGTCTATGGAAGCCCCCAATGAGTGGAATGTGAAGAAGGAATGGCGAAAACACCGCGGGGAGAGAGTGATAGATAACTGGGAGAGAGCGTAGGTAATGTGAAACAGTAGGTGGTATCGCATTAGAAATGTTATTGGACCCGAGGTCTGAAGTTTTCACTATTCTTTTGGGTTAAACAGAAGTGTTTTATTTAAACCAAGTATAACACATCAAGAGAAGGTTCCGCGGTAGCTATAGCTTTGACTTAATGTCAAAATTACTAGAGATGCAGATTTTTTGAATTCTTTGTTTTTGTTAGGTTTGTACCTAAGACTTATAGCTATGGATGCCATTTAAGCTTCTTGTTGGGAGAAAGGCGGGGGAAAGTGGAGTAGGGATGGGGTTCTGTTAGCTTGGTTGGATAAAGTGGATTTCCTGATGTTTGCCATTATCATATGCTAAAGATATTTCCATTGCTCTGAACAGTGTATTAGTAAATTTCTGTTCCTAATATATGCCTATTTTGACATGTGAGACTTCATATGGTTGAGTTATTAGACAAAATAGTTTCATAAACTATACTTATTTTTTATAGCCTGAGACCATGTAGTACCAATTTAGAATCCAGTGCCATGTATGGTAAGCATTTTTAACTATTTTTCAAAGGCCAAATACATAGACGGCCCATTAAACTTGGCACGATTTTTCACTTTGGTACTTTAACTCAGCCTTGTTCCATTTTGTTCCTGCAATCCCATTTCTTTTGTTCCACTTCGACACAAAAGCTGATTAGATTCCATGTGTGATTTGCCTCACACTTGTAGGCGCGTGAGAAGCATTTTTTAAGTTAAATTTTATACTCCCAACGTGGAGGGGAATTCAGAATTTAAATCTTATTTGGCTAAGTTTAATGGTGTGTACGTGTATTTGGCCATTTTTCAAACATCTAAATACTTTAGAATAAACATACTGCTTTCTAGTTCCACTTTCTAAGCAGGTGGCGACAACAGATTTCTTTTTTAATTAACATGATGCACATTTTCAACATCTTTTTTTTTAATAAATGTCCCAACAGGAATTACGTAACGTAACAGAGTGAGGGCATCTCCAACCTTTACCCTTATTTTTATCCCCAAAATGGGGATTTTTCTATTTTGGGGACAACTTACTCCAACCATTCCCCAATTTTTTTCCCCAAACTTTTTTATATTCTTCTAATTTTTCTATATTATATTATTATCTTTCATTTCAATTTCATTTTTTAATTTTCATTAAACAAATTCCATCTTTTATTTTTATTAATTTGTAATTTCCATAATTAAAACAATTCCATAAAATTTTAAATAATATAATTTATAAGCAATTATTATAGATTAACTAATAATTCAAATAAAAGTGAAATCATTGCGATACAAGATTAATTAAATACATATTACATAACGATAAAATTCATTCGAAATACTAGATAAATATTCAACTTCAACCTCTAGTATTCTCCCATAAATAATCTATTAATGCATTACGAAGTGCAAAATGAGCATTTTTGTCCTTAATTCTTCTATGTCGAAATAAAAATTCTTGAAATCGTTGATTTTTATCTACTGCCATTTCTACAAATAATAATAAATGCACGAAAATTAATTTATCAAAATTATACACCAAAGTTAAGATATAATATTAATAAAATAAAGACATTACATAAACATAATTAGGTATCTATAAAGAGATAAATTAAAAGATTAAATAATAAAATAATAATAAAAAAGTGATGAATAGTAATGGGGGAGATGAATAGTGTACCCCATATTTGAGGAAACACTATTCATCCCCCATTTTGGGGACAAAAATGGGGGAGAGTTGGAGCTAAATTTCCCCAAATATTTCCCCCATTACGGGGGATGGGGGCAAGGTTGGAGATGGCCTGAATAGAAGTTAAGGTACGAATATAAGCCCGACTGAGCACGAATCAGCCTCAGAAGTCATACCAAGAAATCCTTTTTCTCTTCCACAATGGTGTTGCTCCCGGAAGGGAGCCTTGGCGTAACTGGTAAAATTGTTGTCATGTGACCAGGATGTCACGGGTTTGAGCCATGGAAACAGCCTCTTGCAGAAATGCAGGGTAAGGTTGCATACGATAGACTCTTTTGGTCTGGTCCTTCCCCGGACTTCACGCATTGCGTGAGTTTAGTGCACCGAGCTATTCTTTTTAATCGGTTCTTTGGGTATTTATGATGTAGTGAGTTTCTACATGTATTTAGTGAGATTCAGTTCTGATGATTTGGTTAATTAAAATATCTGTCCGCTATTCTGTCCATTAAGAGGTGTTTCAGTAGCAGCTTTCTGTTAGTGGGCAGAATGAAAGATGGTAATTCACTTGGGCAAAGTTAAGCTAATTGAGTTTTACAAAATGATGGGAAAGAAGTTTATTTTCAATTTTAGAAAGCACAATCTTTATTGATATTGGGCTATTGGCTATGGAGTTGGAATTCTTTTCTTCATGTTTTTTTTTTTTTTTTTTTTTTTTTTTTTTTTGTGCTTTGAACCAACAACTATTTGTTTTCTTTTAGAGGGAAAGGNACTCGCCTAGGTATCTTGAGTAGGTGAACAGTGTGAAGGTGGTTTTGATTTCATCAATCTTCCATCTTTTATCACTTTGCAGGAGTAAGCTTTAGTTCTACTGTTGTTTTGCATAATTAGAGGTGAATCTTAATTATCTGAAGAAGGGTGTGAGAAAATAAGATTAGGGAAGAAATATATCAAAAACTTTATGAGTTGATGAATACAAGTCTCACCTATTATAGGTGTTAGATACAAGACGTGATATTTGTCTAATATTGGATGAAATCTTACACAAAGAACTTATTTCATCCTTTTTACTGATATTCAGACTTTTGTAAAAAATAAATTTTTTATCACACCTCTTTAAAATAAGAGCGGGTAAACCAAATTCATTTTATTTGTTTTGAAAGCATTTCGTAGACGAGGAGGAGAAGAAGACGAGTAAGGGGTGGTATAAGAAAGTTAAGAAGGAGGCGAAATTAGCGGTTACGGCGGCTAAGACTGCAACATTTGGTAATTCGTACGAAGAACTTGGAGGCAAAGGCAGAAGACAGAAGTTGTACATGCTAGCCAAGATGAGAGAAAAAGAAGGCCCATGACCTGGACCAAGTGAAGTGCATCAATGACAAGAAAGACAGAGTTTTGATGGAAGAGGTACATATTCGACGAAGATGGCAGACATACTTCTATAACTCTTGAACGAAGAGGGGACATGAACAATTTGCTGGGTGATTTGGAATGATGCGAGAGTCGTCAAGACTTTGGGTATTGAAGACATATAAAAATTAAGAAGGCCAAGGGGGTTATGCGTAAGATGAGCAGGGAAAGAGAGATCAGGCCAGATGAAATTTCAGTAGAATTTTGGAAGAACGCGGGCAGGGCAGGCTTGGAATGGCTCACTGAGCTGTTTAATGTCATTTTTAGGAAGAAGAAGATGCCCGAAGAATGGAGGTGGAGTACGATGATCCCTTTCTACAAGAACAATGGTGATATAAAAAATTGCAACAACTATAGAAGTATCAAGTTGCTAAGTCATACTATAAAAGTCTGGAGATGGTGGTGGAGTTGAGGGTGAACAAGAGTATGTCTATTTCCGAGAACCTGTTCGGAATTCATGCCAGCACGTTCGTTTACGAAAGTCATTCACCTTGTTAGGAGATCGGTGGAGCAGTACAGGGAGAGGAAGAGGGACTTACATATGGTGTTTATTAACTGAGAAAAGACTTACGATAAAGTCCCGAGGAGGTCATGTGGAGATGTTTGGAGGCTAGAGGTGTATCTGTTACATATATTGGGGCGATTAAGGGCTTTGTATAATGGGAAAAAGACAGGGTACCTATAAAAGTGAAACTATTTACCTTGCCCTACCCATTAAAGAATTCTACCCACTAAATAATTACAATCTCCTACCTATTTAATAAATAAACGGGAATATCAAAATAACTACCCCACGCTTAATGCCCTACCTATAAAAACGCAAAAGCTGCTCAAAATTTCAGAAAATCAGCGCACAAAATTGAGATTTCCACCGACATTCCCTAATTTGAAGATCACTAAGTGTGAAAAAACAGATAGAAGATGTTGATTCGCATCTTCTTTTCGGATTTTGATTTCACTGTTGTTTTCAGATTTTGATTTCGCTGTTGTTTTGATTTTGATTTCGGAGCTAAACTTCTGAATTTTAGCTGAAAATTCTAATCTAGGTTTGGAGATCTGGAGATCTAGAGGTTTGATTTCGAAAAATCTGTTGCAGCTATATACTGTTGAAATTTCGAACATTATTGAAATTTGCATTGTTGAGATTCAATTTTAGACATAAAAGTGATTATAACTTTAGAATCATGGAAAATATTCCAATTCTACTGCAGCATAGTGGAGAATGGGATGATAACAATAATTTCATAAATTTTCATGTTGATGCAATTCCAATAAAAACCTCTTGGAAATTTGAACAACTTCTCAGAGAAATTGCAAAGCAACTGCAAAAGGACAGTAAAACAATAGTTATTCAGTATGCTATTGCTCAAGGATATCCACCAATTACAATTTGCAGCGATATGAGTGTTAGTGTTTACATGGAATTGAAAAAATCAAGTGCAGGGATGACAACACTTTCCCTGTGTGTGTCGTTTGCTAAAAACACTATAGCTGCAAGCACCTCCAGTTTCGATGTTGCTCCAATTTCATCAGAAATTGCACAATTTGAAAGCACTGATATGATTACTACGTTTGATGTGCAAGAAGGAGATGACGCCATTTTAGAACTTGATGATGCAAACATCATAACTGATCAATTTCATCAAAATGTTGAAAAAGGACAAATTTACGAAGACAAGAACCTGTTGGCTCTCGTTATGAAACAGTATGCTGTTAGAGAAAAATGTCAATATCGGGTTCATAAATCATGCCCAAGAAGGTCCGTCTGCATGTTTTCAAGTAAAAAACTATGTGATACCTATATAGTATATAAGTATGCTAAATCAGTATACTATGCGAGTATGGAATTGTATTGGTTTGTCTGTGTTTTTTATCAGTGATACTGGTATAGTATATAAGTATGCTATATCAGTATACTATGCGAGTATATAACTGTATTGGTTTGTCTTTGTTATTATCAGTAAAACATAATACCAATATAGTATATATGTATGCTAAATCAGTATACTATGTGAGTATAGAATTGTGCTGCTTTGTCTATATTTTTTATCAGCAAAATATGATACTGATACAGTATATAAGTATACCAACAGAGTATACCATGTGAGTATATAATTGTATGGATTTTTGTGTGTGTTTTTATCAATAAAATATTATACATAACTGTATTTGTATTATAAACAGGTATATCCTTGAATGCGTGGATGAAAGATGTACTTGGAGACTTAAAGCATCAAGCCTACGAGCATCAAATCTTTTCAAAGTGACGGATTTCAATTCTGTCCATAATTGTTTAACTGATAAGAGATTTTGTTCACAAAAGCAAGCTGTCTCAGCTTTTGTTGCAGCTGTGGTACAAGATAAACTTGTTGACCCGAAACCATATATACACCAACAGATATCCAGAGAGATATCCAAAAAGCATATGGTATGGACTTAAGCTACATGCAAGCATGGAGATCAAAAGAAAAAGCAATGCAATTATTGAGACGATCACCAAGTGAATCATACAAGAAAATGCCAACATATCTTTATATGTTAGAGTACCCTAACCCAGGATCAGTGACACGACTAGACACTGAAGGAGATGAGAGCTTCTTGTATGCATTCATAGCTATATATGCATCGATTAGAGGATGGGTCTATTGTAGGCCAACAGTTGTAGTTGATGGAAGTTTTTTAAAGTCAACATATAGAGGGACCATACTCACGGCTTCTACGCAAGACGCAGAGGGTAAGAATACAATCCAATTACATTCAGTTAAAGAAACAAAACATATTTTCAAATATTATATGATACCAGTATGGTATACAAGTATACCAACAGAGTATATAGTTGTTTTGCTACACACCTGCGCGTACCTATAACTATACTACTATATAAAATGCTAAATTAATATTTTTTGTACAATCCAATTACATTTAGTTAAAGAAACCAAAAACATTTCAAATATTATATGATACTAGTATGGTATACAAGTATACCAACAGAGTATATAATTGTTTTGCTACACACCTGCACGTACCTATAACTATACTACTATATGAAATACTAAATTAATATTTTGTGTACAATCCAATTACATTCAGTTAAAGAAACAAAAAACATTTTCAAATATTATATGATACCAGTATGGTATACAAGTATACCAACAGAGTATATAATTGTTTTGCTACACACCTGCACCTACCTATGACTATACTACTATATGAAATGCTAAATTAATATAGTGTGTTGTAATTGATATTTTATTCTTTGGGTTTACAGGACAAATTCTACCCTTTGCATATGCAATTGTTGATTCGGAAAATGATGCATCGTGGGAATGGTTCTTCGTGCAGTTCAGAGAAACCTATGGACAAAGAGAGGGAATGTGCATTGTATCAGACAGGCATGATGCTATATGGAAAGCAACTTCAATTGTCTATCCAGAAGTCCCTCATTGTGCATGTATGTTCCATCTGTGGAACAACATAAAGACAAACTTCAGGAAGAGCCAAAAACAAATCAAAGAAGTATATTTTGAGTTAGCAAGAGCATACACTATTGAAGAATTCAACAGGCATATGGCAGAGTTAGAAGCTATTGATAGTAGAGTGAAAACATACCTAATGGATATTGGATATGATAAATGGTCCCGGGCGCATTCCAAGGCAAATAGAACCATGACCATGACATCGAATATTGCGGAATCAGTAAATGCAGCAAACAAGCACGCAAGAGACCTCCCAGTTGTGAATTTGCTTGACTTTATGACAACATTGATTCAAAAATGGAATTACACCAATCGGAAGGATGCAGTGGAATCATTTATGAAGATTGGTGCAAAGTATGAAAAAATATTGGCAGATAATACTATCTTATCACAGACGATGACGATATGCATTTTCAAAATCATAAAAACACTGCATTTACTGTATTTTTACCTTTTTACCTTAGTGATTTCACTAAACAACTGAATATTGTTATTTAAGAAATACTATTACTTCATATAGCTAATGACTTTTCTTAATTAAAATTATACTAGGTGTTGCCATAAACTGAATTCTTACATTTAGTAATTGATGGCCAAACAAGAAATGTGGTGCGCCTATATGAAAGAAACTGCACTTGTGGGAGGTTTCAACTAGACGATATTCTATGTCCACATGCAATGGCAGTTATACAAAAATTCCATATGGATTCATACAAGTATTGCTCAAATTACTACAGCATAGACTACTTGCTGAAAATATATGAGATACCAGTAAATCCATTGCCTGATGAAACAACGTGGCAAATTCCAGAAGATGTCTCTTCGCAGGTGGTACTGCCACCAAAAGGAAAAATCAAACCAGGAAGACCTAAAAAGAAGAGATGCATAGGAGGCTGGGAAGGAAATACTGTTACATGTGCACTATGCGAGAGAAAAGGACACAACCGGAGAACATGCCGAAATATTCCAAAGAGAGATTGATATAATGCTTCAATGTTTTTATAGAACTCATATATCGTAGAATCATAGCATTTGAATTGCAAAAAAATAAAATGCATTTCTTGCACTAGACATATATTTGGTATGATGATTCTTTGAGAAATTACTTTTTGGCAACAAATTTATATGACTACTTGTATTTTTAATAAGAATCTATTTATTTTCTATTTTAGTATATAAAAGTGGGATGCATTTACATTTAGTTGTTGCAGGAAAAAAGATGCTAAAATATATATGTGATACCCAAGTGGTATATCTGTATACCTTATTGGTATATCTGTATATCTTATTAGTATCAAAATATGTGCAGAAATAGAAGTGGTGCTGCAAATGCAACATTTGTACATACTTTGTTAACAAAATGGGCACGCTTTGCAGCTCATGTCTGTATTGAAGTATAACAAATTGGAAGCCATTTACATGCAGTTATTGTACATCATCAGGTACATTAATACAAGGTGATACCCAAATGTTATATTTGTATACCTCGCTGGTATATAGTGGTATTGCACTAATATGGCTAAAACAAAATATGCGCAGAAATACAAATGGTGCACCAGATACAACGTGATACCCAAAATGCGCACGCTTTGGAACTCATGTCAGTACTTACATCTAGTTGCTGAAGGAAGAAAGGTGAGTCAAATACAACGTGATACCCAAATGGTATATCAGTATACCTGATTGGTATATAGTTCTACTATACTAATACACCATCTATGCTAAAACTACAGATGAACATTAAAGCTTAGACCATCATCACATTCGAAAGCAGATCATTTAACTTCTGTCACAACTACTTTGTATGTTGTTGGAAGTGTTCGCTTCATCTTCCCCTAATTTTTACTTGTAGAATCCATTAAACCTTACCCTCTGGCAAAGGAATGGACCTCGACATCCTAATAAACCAACAACTTTATGAAAGAAGCCTAAGAAAGGCCTAATAAAACAAGCTGAAATCAGAAACAAAATTAGCAAATTTTCAGCATCAAGAGACATAACTAAACTGATAACCCCCATGTACTTGAAGAAATCTATACCACATATTCTGAACCAGAATAATTAAATACGACAAAAGAAACATTAGCAGCTGGAAATATTTTATAAAGGCACAAGTTTCCTACAGTCTTGAATCAGCAGAAGGTCATTTACTACTAATAATACCATACTTCACCAAAAACTATTAAAATCCTGCAAAGTCTTCATGATACGATTAACTAAAACCAAAAAGAGACCTATACTACTTCTTGTGTTTCTTTCCATGAGTCTTTTTAGGTGCTACTGGAGCCTCAGATTCACTTGATTCGCCATGCAACTGCTTGTTCCTCCCATAGTGCCACAACAGTTTACCAAACCTAGCTCGAAGACCATCCACATCAAAATTGGTAACAGGGATTGGAAGATCTTCAATAATATACTCAGCAAAGTAAGCAATATATACTCTACAATCTCTGAAATAAAACAAATGAATAGACTATAAAAATCAATTAGAAGTGAAAATGTTAATATGAATGAGGAAAACAAAGTAAAAAAAAGTAACTATTCTTACGAATTTTGCTGTGTTGACAGATTTGTAATCAGTTCAATCTCAAAAGGATTAGTCAACTTCTTTCCCATGTGCAGACCATTTTCTACTACAATGTCACTTCTTTGGTTATAAAATTCAATACTAACTAGAAATAGGGGGATCAACACAACATAAGACTCTTCCACTTTTTGAATAGCTTTTTTGTGCTTTCGACTACGTAGCGAGTCATATACGTAAAAACATCTCTTGTGGAATGACACACACCCCAATATCCAATGCCAAATTTCTGCCAAATTAATTGGAAAAATGACATGATCAACCTGGTGCCATGGAGTGTTGCAATGCATCCTAAATTCTTTCATGTACTCCATGATATCGTCTGATCTATCAATCAAATGATCTTGTTTCCCACCTTTTACAAATTCTGTGAAAACCCTTTGAATGATATTATGAAAAAGAGTATCTGTAGTTATAACTTTGATTGGCATATTAATTCCATATTCGCCTTCTTCCTAAGATAGTAAAATATAATATTCAAGTGCTGCAAAAAAGAGAAGAAGAAAACATGACTACCACTAACAATATGAATGAACTACTACAACAACAAAAATAAAAAGCAGTACACATACCGAACTAGAGAGCGGCCTGCCAGAATAGTTTAAGGTATGGAAAAACGTCTTATCATCAATCTGTTCAACTTCAAAGTCAAAACAAGGCTCTAGCTTTTGATCAC